GATGTAACCAGACACATATGTTGCATACTCATTCACACATAAGTTGTGTGTTGCTGCTGTTTTTGAATATGTCCCAGTCAGTACAATCAAAACAGTCTTGAAGAGCTTCCATAGGTCCCTCTGACCAGACTCGTCCCTGTTTTACTGATGTTTTTTTCCTTGATTAGCATGGGCTTGTATCCTGGAATTATTTCCAGAAAGGAATTATTCCTGTTGTTGCGAAGCCTACAAACTGGTGAAGCTGAGGAAGAGCGGTTTTCAGGTTTGGTTGGTTAAAGTCCTCATTCCCCAGATACAATAAAAACTCCATCTGGTTGTGAACTTTGCAGGTCATTGATGAAATTGTAGAGAGACAATCAGAGCATTCTTGTTGTTGGCACTGGGGGAATATACACTACTGTGTTGCTAACAGAGGTGAACTCCCTGGGTAGATAGAAGGGCCTGCATTTAACAGTTAGAAACTCTATGTCAACAGAGCAGTGGTTGGAAATGATTTTAGTGTTCTTAACACTAGTTGTTGTTGTTGATAAATATGCATATACCGCCACCTCGAGTTTTTCCTGCCAGCTCACAGTCTCTGTCTAGGCGGAACGCTGTTAGTCCCTCGAGGCTAACAGCCATTTCGGCGAAGGACGGGGTTAACCATGTTTCCATCCGAATTAGAGCACAACAGTTTGTTACCTCTCTCATCGTTGTTAGCTCGAGTTGAAGATAGTCCCTTTTTTTTCCCCAGTGAGTGGACGTTTGTGAACAGGCGAGATGGAAGTGGTGTCCTCCATGGGTTGACTCTCAGTTTGGCTTTTGACCCTCCCTGGCCGCCACGATTCTACTTTTGGTCACACCGCCTTCCTTTTACCTCAACTCAACTAGCACTTGTGTGTAACTCTGCCGCTCTGCGGGTGCTTCCTCACTAAGTATGCCAACACGTCATAACTACCGTAAGTGTACTGATCCACGACCCCTGAATGTGTGTAGTTCCAATAAGGTCATGGAATCATAACTTAAATCCAGATTGCTGGGAGACAATGCAGCCACAGCTGGACCCGGTGCTGCCATCTATATTTTTAAATGTAGCAAATGTTACATTTAATACATTTATTTAACTATCATCTTATCATCAGCTGAACTTTGCATTTTTTATTTGAGTTTGACCCACTTTTTAATATTTGTGTTCATTACAAAAACAAACAAACAAACACAACAAAACAAAATAAACACATGCCAACCAGAGACAAAGGCTGGTTGGGTTCAAAACTTGCAACACGGTTGAGCCAATTCATGTGTGTGTGCTTCCACAGATGTGCCACGTTCACACAGCTCTAACTTTCTACTGCACAAAAAATAAATAAAAACGAACTAATCCCCAAACCAGAAGAAAAACATCTGTTTACAGGTCCCTCTTGTAAATGAGTCCTCGTGGCTCAATGAGGCTAGCCTGTATAAATAAAGGTTGAATGAAAAAAAAAAAATTACTGACTGACTGACTGACTGACTGACTGATTAATTGTAGAAGTGGATATTTTTTGAGTATTATATAATTTTCATATCTACTATCAACTCGTCTGTGCTTTGCCTAAGAATAGAGTCAGGGAAGGAAAGATGCCAGGTGATCCATGTTAACACTACATGAAGAGTGCCAGCTGGTTTGTAGTGAATACTTTGGATCGTCTTTAATTTTATATCACCTCACCTTCTTTTAGACTTTTTCTAACTTGCTGGTTGGTACAAGACTTGCAGTATAACAGGCTCAATAATCTGCTTCAAGATTCATAAAATAAATAAAAAAAAACAAACATTTGATCTTCATCTTGTTAATCCTAACAATAATGTGTTTTGGAATTTTTAGAAGTGCTCCATTTGTCTGACAAACATTTTGCAATCTTGAATTTTTCATTAAATATTTTTTGAGGGTCTTTATTCTTTAATACCAAAATTATATTAATTTATTGAACATGTTTTAAGTCTGAAGGGTAAATCAGTGGATATAATCTGCCCTCAAAAATGCCACAAGAAAATGACTTAATCCTACAAGCTTTCAAGTTTTTATGATTTGGAGTGAAAATATGCAGCAGATTAAGTTCAGAATACTTGTTTGCCTTCTAATTTTTCATGCAGCATAGCTTTAAATGTTTCATTATATTTACTAAAGTTTTACAGTACTGGGGGAATAGAAGCTGAATGGCTCACTGATTTCTTTTATGATGGATGTGGCTTGGTTCTCGGTAAATACTTTTTTTTAGTCAGCAGGCACAACTATATTTACAGCAGGATTTGCTCTTGTGTGTGAATATTTTATGGTTTTTGGTTACCTTGTACACATTAATTTTAAATGTCTTTTTCAAAACTTAAATCGGGAGAAATAACCCTGCTGACCTATGAGCAGAAGCCAGTGTGTGCTGTGGCAGGAGACAGAGAGGCATTTGATTAATAAAGTAATGGAATAATTCAATGCTGTGTGTATGTGTGATGTTGTGTGTTTGTGTCTCGGGGCTGAACACACAGTCACACTCACACATTCTCATTTTCAAAAGCAGCCAGGGGCACTCTTCAGTTTCCCGCTGCGTGTTCTCGTCTGCTGTGTCATTCTGCATCACTGGTGCGAGAAATTAGTTTGTTGTTACTGCTTTTTACCACCTTCATTTTCTGTCCTTGAATCTCATCCACCTGAGTATCAACGGCTACAGTGAAGCAGTCCATCCACATTTCCACCAACTTTGTGTGAGAGTGTTTGAATGTGTTTGTAGGTGGTTAGAGTGGTGTTTCATATGTGAGCCTTGTTTTTCTGCCACACCATCAGTCTCTGATTTTTGGGACTTGGTTGGAAAATGAGAATATGTAGTGTTTTGATGCCATGTATGATCAGTGTGATAGAGTGCAGCCGCAGGGTGCTTCTACACAGGCAGCAACAGGCCTGTATGAAGCACTTAATACAGACAAAACTCAAAGCCTGAGGCAGTGGCCTCACTGACAGTTAAATTATGTGGCTAAGCACACACACAGTCACTTGTACTTACTTACCTGTGCTGCCGACACACAGACACTGTGCGTATGTTTTGTCACAACATGATGTAGATTCTTAAGTGGAAATGGGGAGGAGTTTGGTCACACACTGTGTCTGCTTACTTACTAGTTACGTGGACTTAAACCCAAACTTGCTAAGAAATTAAAATGCAAAAGGGGTACACCCCATCATAAGCTAATACAGCACCAGAGATGGGGGAAAAACACAACAAAAAACGAAACATGAAAAAATAAACCATATGAGGTTATTTTTTGTCTTAAAACCACACAGATGATCAGTAATAATTACTAAATTGTTCCAAATCAGCTTATTTTATTTATATAAAAGAGTAGATTAATTATCAATGTGTGGGGAAAAAAATGCAAAGAACTTTGCATTTTGCACTTTGACAGTAGGCCAGGATTTTAAAAAATGGGATGCACAAAACGCAGATCACAGATACTCACTGGTCATTTAGGTAACTGCACACAATTAGGATTCAATTCAGTTGAGTTTATTTCTATAGTGCCAAGTCTCAACAGAAGTCACCTCAGGGCACTGAACAGAAACATTCACACACACACACACGCACGCACGCACGCACGCACGCGCGCGCGCGCGCGCACGCACGCACACACACACACACACACACACACACACACACACATACATACATACATACATACATACATACATACATACATACATACATATATATATATAAGTTAACTCTATTTAACTGAGGAGCAGACTGCTTTGAATTTAACTCCATCGCAGAACTCTCATTTGAGCAAGCACGAAGGCAACAGTGGAAAGAAAAATCTCCCTCATGAGGAAGAAATCTTTAGCAGAACCAGGCTCAGGACAAGAGGCCATCTGCTTCAACTGGCTGGGTTTGAGAGGAACAGGAAGGAGGAACAGATACACAATGGCAGGTCGAGAATCACGTTGAGATAGAAATAATGTGAAAAGAAAACTATAAAATTTTAGCAATTCATTTAAGGAAATGAGGTCAGTTTGTCCTCTAGTAGTCTAAGCCTATGGCAGCATAACAAGCCAACCCTAATTATAGGATTTATCAAAAAGGAAAGTCTTAAACCCAGTCTTAAAACTGGACAATGTGTCAGCCTCACGGACAGAATCTGGAAGTTGATTCCACAAGAGAGGAGCCTGAGAACTGAACGATCTTCTTCCCATTCTGCTTTTGGAAACTCTAGGAACCGCAAGTAAGCGGCAAAGAAACATTTGTCCATTTTACAATTTTAGGTCACCAGCTAGTCTTCAGCAGTCACAGCCTAAGAAACTGAGTGGTTCTCATCTGAGACAAATGCTTCACAAACACTCAGAAACATTGTATAAATGATTGAGATGCTGATAAAATGATTGAAGTGGGAGACACAGGTGTACAAATACTGACTGGAGCTTGTTGTATGAGATGTATAAAATGTATAAATGACACAAATAACTAAACTTATCTAGACACTCATGCATGTAAATTAAACAGAAATGTTGAGTTTCACGTTGTGGAGAAATTCAAGCTCAAGAAGGATGAATGGGAAAAATTTGGTACCAGACATAAATCTATTACCAGGCCGTGGAAAGTAGCAGTGAAGTGAGTGTGATTAAAAGAAGTGGCATTGAGGGAAGATGTGGACTTTAAAGTGTTGATTGTATGAGTCAAAGTGTTCCTCTGCTCATGTCTGAATCATCAGTTAGATTTTGAATAGCATGAATAATGCACAAACTTCTATAAAAGCACCATCTTGTTATGTATATGCAAAAAAGGGAATGATTCATGTTTATGACCTTGGCATTTTACAAGTGGAAGAGATTTATATTATTTTATTTTCTCTTTAATTTACTCATAAAAGTCAGAGTGAAATCATGTTCGGTATTGAGCCTCTGCTATTCACAACCCACCATGCCTTTAATGTACATGCAGGGATGGATGGCTAAACTAAACTCTGACCTGTGCATCTTTATTCCTTTCTCTCTCCAGGCATGAAGACTTATCTTATTTCTGGCAGAAAGGTTGAGCCTCACTGTAGCTGCTCCCAGATGGGACTGTCTAGACCAGAACATGCAGATATCCAGTGTCCTGTTCCCAGATTGCACACGCCTGATGGAGCTGCTTTGGCTTGCACCCTCCCCCCAGACAAGTCCAAGGTGAGTTGTCACTGTTTCTGAGAAAACTAGCCATGTTGTTGGAACAGTATTGTTGTATCACTGTGCATCTGCACTGCCTGAGGAAGAACGTGGAGCTCTGTGTTCTACCGCATTCTTTGTTCTTTGTGCTGTGTGTAGGTGTATCAGAAGCTTTATTTAAAAAAAAGACGCATGCATGGAGGTAGACTTTCTATTGATTTAACCCAGTATCACCATCAAACCTCATATTTTTATTTATGACTTGTTACTTACTACATTGTTTAATCCTTGTGCATCATTCATGATTGGAGCATCTTTAACCTCTTTTGTTTTCATGCAATCACATGTATCTACTTTGCACCATATGATGTAATTTAATAGAAAGCAAGCTAAATGCAATTTCATCCTACCAAGATTCAAGATAAAATCTGTAAATTTTATTCACTGAACATGAAATAAGGGTGCTCTTTCCAAAAGCTACTTTGTATAACAAGCTACATTTGGTGCTAATAAACTCAAAATAACTATATATTGTTGTGTCTTATATTCATCATGTGCAAATGAAGGTGAGAGGTGATAATGGTTTTGTCCATGTGCATGTTTGCATTTTGTCTGTTGCTTTTGTAAAAGTTCTCATAAACTAGATGGATTGTAATACAATGCTCAAAGTAATCACTGGATCTACAACTGATTAATTTTTGGAATCAGTCCTATTGAGGTTGGCTGCCACTAATAAGTAAACAGCAAACACAAAAATTACTAACTCAACCAGATTGTTTACATATTGAGCAACAATTGGTGTTGTAGTGGCTAAACATTTTTGCCAGCGCATGCACTGAGTGCTAACTATTTGAGATTAGACAAATTTCAATGAAACTCTCTGAAAGCAATCATTGAAAATATATACAACTAATTAACCTTTGTGGAGTCAACCAAATATGAAATGAACAAGCAACCTTAGCTAGCACAAAACTGGCTACAACATAAGTTAACTTTGGTCTGGTAGTAGCTGAGAATCATCCAAAAGCATATACTCTGCAAGATCTCACAAGATCTCATGATATTGAATATATCATCATTCACAAGATTTGACCCAAACGACTGGGACTCTGTCCCTTCTCAGCATAACATGAGTTTAGTTGAAAATTGGCACGAAAGGTGACATGTGATATGCATTCTTTAAAAAAAACACAAGGTTTTTTTTTTTTAATCTAATGATCATCCACTTCTAACAGATTACATTGCACTTGCATAAGAAAAAAGTCTTGATCTCATGAAAACCTTCTCATGTTCACTTTTTGTTTTCTGTACATTTCTCTGCTATGCCTCCTCCACATATTAACATAATCCTCAGTTAAATCTAATTTATTATCTCAGTCCTTTTGTGTTTTCTCTGCACAACGTATTCATTTATTAATTTTCATCCTTCTTTTGTGACCACATATTACAAAGTTTCTCCCTTTTTAATGTCTCTAAACTCCAAACTCTGCACAGCCTCCTTGTCTGCCCTGCGCTATGACCCTAATAGCAGGAGAGGATCAGATTCTGGAGGAAGGAATAATACACAATGGCTGCCATGAAGACCACAAAACAAACAGCAAGGTTTGATGGCATTGTTAACCTGTTGCAAGGAGAAAATGTTTCATGTTATACCTAAAATGAGAACATGCCTGAGCTTTATTTTGTGAAAAGGTATATTCATCTAATGTGTTTATTTGTAGTTAGAACAGCTTTACTGTTCAGGAGAGGGCAAAAGGGCTCACATAATTAGTTCATAGAAATAGAATTGCACAAGTCCCAGATACAGTTAATGCATAAATCTTAAGCTAGTGTGACTGAAATAAAGTCTATAATTTCAATATTTCCTATTTAGACTACTTAATAATACTGCTGACCTATTTCAAAACTCATTAGTGCGACCTCTTTCCTGGGAATTTAAGATTTCTCTGTTCCTCTTAGGACTCTTCAAATTTGAAGTGTTCCCCTGTGATATCTGCTGGACGCAGCCCCAAAACTGTGAATGGCCTGCTCAGTCCTCAGCTGGAGGCCTTGAATAACAGCCAGACCTCCTTGTGTGAGATGCTGCAGGAAAAGGAGAAGAAGACGTGGAGTGGCGGAGCCATGGGCATGGACCACTCAGCGCTCATCCCTCTGCGCTCCAAAAACTTCAGGGAGAGGAGTGACGCTCACTTTGTGGATGTTATCAAGGAGGATAGGTAGCTTTAATCAAAGATGAATACATTAACCCTTTCATTACAACTTTGCCCTGCTCATTACAAAATCTTAAAAGCTGAGACCAGTCATATTTTGTATGGGGAGGATGTCTGCTGACATTTATTTGAGTGATTGTAATTTTTCTGGATTGTCCATGTTTCCCTTACAGTCTTATGAAGGACTATTTCTACAAACCTCCCTTAAACAAGCTGAGCCTCACCTTCTTGAAAAAGAGCCTGGAGTCTGCTTACACAATAAGCTACCAGGAGGAGGTAGGTGTAGGTGTGCGTGCGTGTGAGGGATTTTTGGTGCCCATGTGCCAACTTGTGTTAAGAGTGCATGCATATGCTTTCATTTTTGTATTTATATGACTATCTATGCATGCTGTGCATCTAAATTGTAACATCATCTTATGTGATCTGAAAATTCTTACAACTAAAGAAAAAGTCAGTGTCATTTTGAGATGGCAGCCATTGTGTCTCTGTTTCCCTGCATCCGTATGAATTAGGTAGCATTTCATATTGTTTGAATGAGTTTTTGTGTGTTTGACTCTTGTCTGGAAAGCCTGTTAGCTCAACATAACCAGACTGGTCAGACTGCGGCAAAGAGAAATTACTGCAGGACCTTAAAGCTGATATGGATTGTTGGGTTACAATGTCCTCTGCTGGTGTAAACTCAGAAGTACATGTTTGAGGGCATGATTGCAAGTTTTTGGTAATGGAAATCGAATTGATTATGGTTAAGATGTAAGTAGTGTGGTAAATGATTTAAAATAATTTACTCTTGTTTCTGGCTGCTGTTTGTGTCTTATCTTCCAGGTGGAGAACCAAGCTTCGGTGCAGACATTTGCCAGCCCAAGATTCAATTCTTTCCTGGATATGCTGCTGTGCTGTTTAGTAGTTTGGGCCCTTTCACTTGCCTGTTTCCTCCAACCGTTAGTTACTCAACAGAGTTTGTCCACACCAGCTCTTGTTCTGACATCTGTAGCTGCAATGCTGGAGGCTCTGGCTCTGTTCTTTGCTACACGGTGAGGCACTAGATATAGACTAACTGTTTGAACTATAGACGCTTAAACCATGTTTAGCCAGTGAGACAAATTAAAGTTGCCTTCACAGTTTTTGAAATGATTGGCATGCCTGTGAAACACAATATTTAAACCCCTAACAGAGACTAAAAATTTAGAAATCACCGAGAAGTGCAACAAGTACCGGGTACGTTTTTATGTTGTGTCAGATACCACTTGATCGATATGTGCTTTCTTTAAAAGGAAAAAACCAAGCAGTGTGCAAACACATGCAGAAAATATAATAACTTAAATGTACTTTTGCAGACATAAAAGTAAACAGAAATAGAAACAAAAGCATTAAAAGTTAAAAGCCGAGCATTTCTTGGAGGAGTGTGTATCGCCTGCTGCTTTTCAAGTCAGAGTTTTAGAGTAAGATCAAAATGACAGAGGGGTAGCTGCTTTGGTCAAACATTGAAAATAACATTATGCTCATGCAATATTGTGAGATGCCACACTCTATGAGTAAGTGTTGACTCTCAAAATATACAGAAAGTTTTGGATGTGCTATGTTCTGGATGAGAATTTACATCAGCATATAGACTCTGTTATAATCACACACATTTTCAGCATAATATGTATTCAAGAAAAAGTTTGCTGTGGCAGCCATTGTGAATTGGGTTGGCTTCCAAAGTTAACCAGTTGTGGTGGTACATCAAATCATTATTTTTCTGGAAGTCTCATTAAAACCTATCCAGTGAGTTATGAGACATTTTGCTAACAGACAGAGTTGATGCCATATAGTTTACCAGAAGAAAGAAAAACAAAGAACTTGTGAAATCTGTTAGCTCTCAGAATAAATAAATGTTAACTATTAGTCTAATCTACTGCCACACCAAATTTTAGATAAATACATGTAACACAGAGTTATAGCCATTTTGTGTTTTCCAAGGTCAATTGGCTGTGTCAGCCATCTTGAATATGGCTGACTCCAAAAGTTAATCATTTGTAGATATATACCCATTGACTACTTTTTCAAGTTTCGTTTAAATTTCTCCTGTGCTTCATGAAATATTTTGGTAACAGACAAACACACACATACAAACTCACACTGATAAGGAGAAAAAAAATTGTCTGCTTTTGCCTTTCATCAGCAGGTGGTAATAAATAAATCTTCTTTGGGACACTTGGTGTTCTTTTATTTAATATGAACTAAGCTGATGACAATAATTCTTGGAGTCATTATATTTATAAACCTTTAATATCATAAGGATAATCTGCATTAATCATGTCTTTCCTTTTCCCCTCTACAGTATGGCTTTTTATCTGGACAGTGTGCTGAACTGTACTCGGGTACTGATGAGAGCTGTCTCAGGCTGGGTGATGCGTCACTTTATAGGAGCTGTTCTAGTGTCTCTGCCCAGTGCGGTAGTCTTATTCCACATCTCCTGTGACATGCATTTTTCTATTCAGGTAGGATTCAGTTTTGTGATTTCTGTCTATTTTTTTGCTAGCATGTTTGTATAATTGATTTCTTCTCACCTTTGGAGATACAGTGTTGCTAAAACTGTCATTTCTAAATTGATTATAATGTTTTTAGACAGTTTGATTTATATTATATGTTTACTTTGACTAATATTTAGCTTTTAACTCCTCAGTACACCATGTTCATCTGCTGTGCGATCATCATCTCTATTATTCAGTATTGTAACTTCTGCCAGCTCAGCTACTGGATGCGTTCAGCAATAGCTACAGTGGTGGGACTGGTGATGCTTGTTTTGCTCTTCAGCTCACCTTGCAGGTATGACAGCCTATTATTTTTCAAACAAATAGGAAATGAGAATTTATGGATGCAAAATGAGTTAAAAATCACAAAAATATGTGTGGAAACCAATAGTTTCATGAACAAAAATGTAAGGATTAAACTAAGCAAAAGTTAGATTGTTTTTTAAATGTAATCAATTCAATATCAAGTACAATTTATTTCTTCCAGTATTAAGTTTAAATTTTTGGGAAGGAAGGTTATTGTTGGTGGTGGTATAACTGCTCGAGTTAAATATTATACTTTTATGAGGAAGGCAGTAGAAGTGACATGTTAAGAAATTGTGGGGTGTATGTGAACCTTTTCTAAAACGGGAGAGATATTTAACTGTCAGGTTTCTAACATTTTTTCTCTATGTACCCCTAAATTTATATTCATTGAAATATATATTTGATTGTATGATGCTCAAAAAATAATTTTGAGGAACATATATTTTATACAAAAAGCATTTTTATTTGAAGATTGTTTGGAACTACTGAAGCTAAAAGCAACATTTATCTAAATTTATTTTTTGCCTAATGTTTTTCTTTCTCATTGCCTAATTTTTGTCTTTTTGCTTTTCTTGTTTTAACCAGGTCTGGTGCTCAAAACAACGTTAGCAACAGCTCCTTCTTTTTGGCAGACAACTCAACAAGTTATGACCCACAAACTCACCTAAAACTCCTCGCTCCTGAAGCCTGTGTGGCCTTTTTCCTGCTCCTCCTCCTGGTCTGGTTCCTTAACCGTGAATTTGAGGTCAGCTATCGTTTGCATTACCATGGCAACGTGGAAGCCGATCAACACCGCATCAAGATTCAGAACATGAGGGACCAGGCCGACTGGCTGCTTCGCAATATAATTCCGATTCATGTGGCAGAGCAACTTAAGGTGACCCAGAGTTACTCCAAGAACCACGACAATGTGGGTGTCATATTTGCCAGTATTGTTAACTTCAGTGAGTTTTATGAAGAAAGCTACGAAGGAGGCAAGGAGTGCTATCGTGTCCTTAATGAGTTAATTGGTGACTTTGATGAGCTCTTACGCAGGCCTATCTTTGCAAACATCGAAAAGATCAAGACGATTGGTGCCACTTACATGGCAGCAGCTGGACTAAATGCTCAGCAGTGTGCGGACGCAGCTCATCCTCATGCCCACCTTCGTGCTCTTTTTGAGTTTGCCCTGGAGATGATGCGAGTGGTAGATGACTTCAACAAGAACATGCTCGGCTTTGGCTTCAAGCTACGCATTGGATTCAATCACGGCCCTCTAACAGCAGGGGTGATTGGAACCACAAAGCTTCTCTATGATATCTGGGGTGACACTGTCAACATTGCTAGTCGCATGGATACAACTGGTGTGGAATGTCGTGTTCAGGTCAGTGAGGAGAGCTACTGTGTGCTCAGTGGCATGGATTATGAATTTGATTATCGCGGCACAGTAAATGTTAAAGGCAAAGGTCAGATGAAGACTTTCCTTTACCCTAAATGCAGTGACAGTGGTCCTGTACCTCAGTACCAGCTCTCTGTCTCACCTGAGATTCGAGCACAGGTGGATGGCAGCATTGGACGCTCTCCCACTGATGAAATTGCTAGCATGGTCCCCACAACCAGCATGACTGCAAACAGTACCAATACCATGGTACCCAGCGCCAGCTCTGGTTCTTCAAATTTAACAGGCTGCAGTCAAACAAAAGAGGCATGGATCCATGACAGATATCACTCGACAGGAACTTCTTATCCCAGACGATCAGTGTCTCACAGTGGCCTAACATCCATACCTGTAGCCAGTCTTGAAGGACAATCTCCCAACAACAAACAGCTTATCATCTCATCCTCAGTCCAGCAAGATACTCCTCAAAATTCAACAAGGTCCTTGAAAGACATCAAGAAAGACAAACAAGAGAATGATAATGACGTCAATGGTGGAGAGTTAACCAGGCTTTAGGTATTTGCTACAATGGCAGTTTTCTTATCAGTCTTTGACCCTTTAAGCTATTGTTCCTGCTGGCTGGCATGTGTACAAGCTATAGTTTAAGTCCTAATTCAGGTAGAGATGGAAGTTTTGAAAGAATACATGAACCTTTTTTTTTTTTTATCAGCCAGGGTTCAGGTGGCTTGTTGTGTAAACATGATTGGGTGATGTTATCAAGGGTGCTTGGCGGACCACACAAAGGTTGTCAGGCAGGAACACAGGAAATGTGAAAAAGTTGCAGTCAATGCTTATTTCCCTTCTTGCCTGCTAACAATCCCATAGTCTCTCATTAACTTGATTATCTTTGCACCTTTAATATTGATTATTTTTTCAAATGTCTTTTAAGTGCCTTTAGGATAGAATAAGTTACAAACTAGGCCTTTTTTGACTAATAAAATAACATGAAGGTAAAATAAATACAGTAATCAGAAAACTTTTGAGGGAAAATAGCTGTTTTTGTTACAGGCTTACTTTTAAAATATGTTTTGCTATGATATTTTTGTCTTTTTATTCGAGGAGAGAAAGAAAGAAAGAAGTATTAACATGTAATATGTTAGGGGAAAAAAGCTATTCTAACATTGTAAAACCGGCACAAAAATGCTGCAGTTCCTCTGTTGAAAACAGAATACTTCTCATGAGATCTCCTGCCAGGACTAATCAATATAGGCAGACAAGGCTAAGATGTGCAAGTGTATTTTCCATAAAAGCAGTATAGTGCATCTCTGTGATTGTAAAACCACAGGCATGGTTTTAACAGGAGTGGTACCTGTGAGTTACTCAAATTACTTGTCAAGGCTCCAAAATTACCAACACTTAACACAATGTTTTGGGCATCTTGTAGATGTGGCAGCTTATTCTCTATACACACAGATAAGTATTGCCACAACACTTAGGGATGATTTCCTCAGCTATATTTATTCAGCATGCTTGCAGCCTCATAAGCTAATGTTTGTGCCCTCTGCCCAAAATCCAGACTCTTGTGGGAACATAAACTGTATTAAGGAAGATATCAGTGGATTTTTCATGGAACTGATGTACCTGTAGATTGAAGTCATGACTTCAGATGGACTTGAGGAAAAAATCTGCCTAAAGGTTCAAAAGGATTATACTGTGTTTTAAAGTTGATGTTTTTTTTTTTTTCCCAAGACAATGATTATCAGTAGAATGTCACACATTTGTTTGCATTTATTGTTGCGCAGAACTTGAGCCGTTTAAGACTCGTGCGCTCAAGTATTTGAAAGATCTATTGGATGCAAACAGCTTTGCTGCTTTTGCTGCCTCAAACCTTCAACTGCATGAAACTTAATGTGATAGCACTGTAAATGCAACAATGGTCATTTTGAAGCTTTAACTGATTTTGTGTTAAATTATTATGAAAGTATCTACAATGCGTTTTTGTCGTAGTTCATCAGTAAAAAGGACAGTGTGCTCAAAAGCAAAAAGGTTGACTGTGAAATCTTGTCGTCTTGTTTTGAGTTTTGTTCAAATACACTGCACAGTACAACCGCATCTTTTCAAACTGCCATTTGATACTTAGGATTTTTAATACAGCAAAAATTAATATAGCAGAAAATTAATAAGCTTTTTCTTATTAGTAAACCAATTCTGTTACATTATATATTGACCTTAAAGAATAGGGGGAAGTATTCAGGTCAAGTTTGAATATTTTGTGCATTTTAATTCAATATTCATTTATTTTTTGTTCTCACTTTGAGTTATCACTTGTAAAAAAAAAAATTTTTCTTGGGTCACTTTTAATTTTGATAGTTTAGTAAAATCTTGCAATTTGAGCAGTGCCTTTTCCTGAATGAAACATTATTTTTATGTTTGTAGTCTGAATCACTTTTATATTCAGCCCTTTCATATTTACATTAGAATGTGCCAAAATTAGATTTTGTCTAATAACAATAACAAAGGTTAAAAGGGAAATAACCGCATTTTGCAGATGAGCACACAACCCTTGTAGCAACCCAAAATTATTTTGTTACATTACAATAAAGAGATAATAGTTGTTATTTAAAGTAAATTGTTAGTATTACAGGTGCATCTAACAATAAGAATATTGTGAAAAAGTTAAATTTTTTTAGTCAATCCTTTCAGAAAGTCAAACTCATATATTACATAGATTCATTACACATAGTGAAATATTTTACGCCTTTATTTCTTGTAATTGTGATGATTGTGGATTAAAATTAGAATATTCCACAGCCAGCTTTTGGTACTTTTGTCAGTGTTGGCAGGAGCCAAGTCCTGCTGAAAAATGAAATCAACGTCTCCATAAAGCTCATCAGTAGAAGGAAGCATGAAGTCTCTAAAATGACTGTGTTGACTGTGGACTTCAGAAAACACAATGGACCAACACCAGCAGAGGACATGGATCCAAATCATCAATGACTGTGGAAACTTAACACCGGACTTCAAGCAACATGGATTCTGGGCCTCTCCACTCTTTCTCCAGACCTTGGGACCTTGATTTCCAAATGATATGAAAAATATACTTTCATCTGAAAAGAGGACGTTGGACCACTGAGCAACAGTCCAGTTCTTTGTCTCCTCAAGTCCAGTTCTTTGTCTCCTCAGCAGGTAAGACACTTCTGATGTTGTCTGATTCAGGAGAGACTGGACTTGAGGAATGAGACATTTGTAGCTCATGTCTAAGAGTTAATCAGCTTATTAGGGTGTTTCCAATATTAAACTTTGCAATATTCTTATTTTCTGGGACACTGAATTTAGTTTTTTCACTATTTGTAAGCCATAATAATCAACATTACAAGAAATGAAGGTTTAAAATATTTCACTCAGTGTAATGAATCTAAATAGCATATGCTTCACTTTCTGAAATGACTGACAATTTTTTAAAACTTTCTTGATATTCTAATTTTTTTTTAGATGCACTTAAAGTCTCATTGAAAAGTTAAAATTAAATGTCTATTTTTGTCTTAATAATTTTGATAAGCCTTTTTGAAATGCATGTTTTTGTCAACTAAAACATTTGGGGACAAAAAAGGGAACCAATAATATACATGTTTGTAGCCATGAATTTGAATTTTTCCAGTTTTTTCTTGCGTGTGCATAAGCCTACAGTTTGTGTTAAATTAAATGGACTTATTAAGATGTGACATTCTGAACCAGCAGAAATGTACACAGAAAATATGTTGATGCCAAAGAATGTCATCTCTTACAATTCCTTTGTCTTTTTCTTCAGGCTGATTTTTCATCTTTTTTCACAATCAAAGATCACACATGTTCAAACTTAAAATGCAATTGCACAAGGCTCATATTTTTTGTGCTGAATGTATTTATATTGTAAATCATCTGAGCATTTTCTATTATTTTATGTAAGTGCATGTACTAGAGTATTAAATAGTTTAAAGAGCTGAATAACTACCAATGTTGGAATGATACTTGTTTTTTATTGTTCGCATGTGTGTACAAATCTGAGTGTTTGTGAAAGTGAGCAGTTGTGTATATATATATTTTTAAACTATAGTTTACTCTTAGAGGGCTTTAAAAATGTATTTAGCTTTATAGCAAAAGGGATGACATGCAAAAGCTTAAGTCAATACAGATTTCCTTTGCTCTTTAACTTAAATGGCCAAATAAAATGAAGGGAGACATAAAATACATGGCCGTAGGTATAGGATTGGAGTACTGTAGTTTGCTATTCTTTTCATTTAGTATTAAAAACCTTTGTTGTTTTGGTTTAGTTTTTTTGAGAATGTTTTTGTACATAAATCGCTAACAGGTGAAGTGAAGCTGTTAAATAAAGACGGTTGCTGGGAACTGATGTCCATCTGAGTTTACAACTTGCACACCATACAAAATATGTATATTTTTTATTTAATTAAAATTGTATATATACATATATATAAACAATAATGTATTGCAATGAAGTACATCAAGTACAGTATTCAGTAATTCAATTTATACTTTTTTCGGTAGCCACATTTTATAGCCTCTTGAGTCATAGGATGTTCCTTTATTTATTTATATTTGCTAATAAGCATAAAATCTATAGAAAAAAGAAAGTCAGTCCCATGGTGTTCATTTAAAAAAAAAAATTGGACTTGGAATATTTATTTGCAATTTGGATGAATTAGTAGTATATAGCGTTTGAACGTTTTGTACAAGTTTTAGAAGTCTAATAATGAAGAATAATTAGCTATTAACTGAAAAGTGATTTAACATTTGAAGCCATTTAACTTCAAATGTTACATATTGGGAAAAGCAATGTGAAATATAAAGTTATATAGAAGTAGTGTTCAGTGTAAAAAGTTATTGAATCTTCATGTCACCCACTCGTAGTGACATACAGTAAGTGAGAAAGCGTTTTAGTTTGAAGCAGGTGAAAGTAAAATGCATTAGATTATATTTATGACATAAAATTTATGTTATTGCACCTCTAAAGGCGACTACATCTACGTCCACTGACGCACGGTGGGACACAGGTTTACGTCAGGGCGTCAGCGCACAGCTCCCCCTCCTCCCCCCACAGTCTAGCTGGGAAGAAAAAAAACTTTTTTTTTTTTTTGTATCGGAGGAATCAACAGCCGCCATCTTGACGCGGCTCAGAATCGGGATTTCTGGGGAGCACTAATTTTCAAACCTTTCCGAGCCACCCAGACCCGGCTCAAACGGCATTTTTCTGGCAGAAAGTCGAAGACTTGGTTCTTCCGTTGAGAATGAATCCAAACATGTGAGGGTTACGTGTGTTTTTATCGTCTCGAAAGGCCACTGTGTGTTTGATTTCCCTTTTAGACAGCGCCGCTTCTCGCCGTATCTCCGTCCAGAGACGCTGTATTTAACGGGAGACAGCGACGAGAAAATTAATCCGCCTCATAGAAAATATTTTTCGATTTTTCTTCTTTTTATTTAAACCAAAGGTGGATTTTATGGACGCTTGTTTCGACTGAGAAAAAATGATTCAGTATATACGTCAACTCGGCGAACTGTGGGGAAATGGATTCTCTTACGCTGTGTGTATTATTTTATGAATGCCTTTTATTTATTTTTCTTGAACTGAAATAATTTTTAGACGTAATTATTGGGGATAATTATGTGGGTGTTGGGTGTTGGATTATCATGGGGTGATCTTCGGTGGCGAAGCGTGGCGCTGTTGCCTTTCTTTTGAAATCATTTTGGTCAGGCACAATTTCGTCTGTCTGCCATTCAAGACAAAAAAAAAACTTAACGTTGCTCCTTCACACGCAACACTGAAAAAAGTTACCTACCTTTACAAAGCAAACACCAACGACTTGGACTGTTTTTATTTCCTGCACCACAATCCATTCATATTTACCGAACAGGATGGCTGACAATCTGCTGGATGCTGGACCCCCCACTGCAAAGCGACCCAAGCTCAATTCACCTCTCTCAGGATCAGATGGTCCAGGTAAGGACAGAGAATCACTGCACAAATGTACCAAATAACAAGAAAAAAAATAACTACATGGAAATTTTCCTGATAAAAAAATTGCACCCATCAGTCTAAATCCACTTCAACGGGATGCACAAATATTACAGTAAAATTGTACATTAGGTTCTTGAATTTATTTAAATTGAATAAGTAAATGATTCATCACATAACTGGTAAAAAATAAAAAGGAGATGGTTATAAAAACAACTGTCAAACTGGATGTCAATCAAAAATTCTGTTTTAGTTTTGCAAGAATGCATTTAAAAATAAAAAAATAGAATTTTAAGGGTTAGTTACAGGTTAACTATAAATTTGTGTATTTATATATATGTATGTATATATTTGCGTATATATCTGTCTATATATATATATATGTGTATATATGTGTATATATATGTATATATATGTATATATATGTATATATGTGTATATATGTATATATATATGTGTATATGTGTATATGTGTATATATGTATATATATATGTGTATATATGTGTATATATATATGTGTATATATGTATATATATATGTGTATATATGTATATATATATGTGTATATATGTATATATATATGTGTATATATGTATATATATATGTGTAT